TTTGTTATATCAGTCTCGCAAGTGGATAGGTGGTCAAAGTCTTCTTCCTCTTGTTCATTGACGATTTCTTTTATAGATATTAATTGTAGGAAGCAATCTATTTAAGCTTTTGAGCCTAAAGCTCCATCTTTTGTTGGATTTATAGGTCTTTCCTTTTTCCTTCTTTATTCCACAGGCTCTTAAAGATTTTCCAATCCTGTTTTATAGGTCTACGCTAGTGAATTGTATCTTTGGTATTGTTCGCAAATAACCATTCAACCTTGTGAAATGTGTAAGTAATATTTTTAACAAAGCTGTGGATTGAAGCTTCTATTGCACTATTCTTCCAAATTGGTCTAAGAATTATACCCTGGGTTTCATTTATACCAATGTTTGTTATTTCTATTTTATTAGAGCCTTTCTTCGCTACCTTATCTGCTAAATCATTTAATATATCACCTGTGTGAGCTTTAACTTTGAATAGCCGAATCTCTAAATTCTTGGTGGATATATTTTTTGCAATAGCTCCTAGTATGCTTGGGTTTTTCACTTTGCACCATGATCTTGTGCTTTTAGTTTTTTCAATTCTCTCTATTGCTTGAATTGCTGCTGACTGTCTGTAAAGATATTTATCTTGCAGTTGGTTGGCGAGATTAGCAGTGCCCCAAGAATTGCCATAAGTTCTAATCTAGTAGACAAGAACCACCCTTGAATTCTACCTTTTAATACTACCTTTTTCCTGCTTTATAATCTTCTATCCCAAGTGAGCCATCTGTATAGTAAGATATTTCTCTATATACCTGGTTTGCTTTTACTGCTTGTATTAGTTCCTGATGTCCAGACTTGTTTTCTATAGTATTTTTAACTAAGTTTTCCAATCTTCTGTATAGATTTGGTGTACTATTTCTGTTTCTTCTATTCTATCTTGATTTTTTTTCTTCTGGAGCAACCAGGTCTTTGAGATTCTCTAATCCAATATATAAAGTCCAGCCCCCTTCATTTTTCTCTTGATTCACGGGCTTATATCTTCTAAATCACTATCTTTTGCCTTTAATATATTGGAGATGGGGGTTAGATCTGAATTGGAGAGGATCATGTGAGATAGATTTTCTTTATTTTCTTTATCCCATTCTAGTATTTGAACCTTTCCACTTGGCAATTTCTTTTGGATTTTTCCAATAAAACGTGAGTTGTTTTCTTTTTTCGTTCCAAGTACTCATTCTTTCTTTAATCTCTTGTGTGATATTCATTTATCACATTTCCTTGTATTATGGACTCTGACTTTTTGTGAGGCTCTATCTATAATTACCATCTCTTCTAATCTTTGAAACCAAAGGGTACTCATCATATTGTTGATACATTTTGTGCTCTACAGATTTGTTGCCAAGTAAGCATGATATTGTCATATTGTGAAACTATCTGTTCTAGGTACCAGATATTTAATTTTTTGAGGCTTAAACTACTTTTTTCCAGATCTTTTTTGTGGATTAGTCCTTGAAGTTCGTTTATTAGACCATTTTTTGGAGCTATGTTCCAGTTTTCTTCCCAGTTAAAGTTTTTTATACTAATTCCTAATTCTTTTGCTGCTGCTAATATGGCTGTATTGAGATTGTTTTTCCATTTGTAGAGCTTTATTTCTTCACTTGGTAAAGTCCATATCGGCTCTATAGATCTGAGTGTAAGCTGCGCCTCCTTTAACCTTATTCTGGTAAGATCGCTTACCAGGTTTGGGTTATTTATTCTTACTACCCATTCTGAGATCATGTGTTCTGTGTAATGTTGCCATAAAGAATTAATTCCCCATATATCTCTTTGTGTCGGGATCAGATTGAATGCAGTTGAGGCCATTTCTGCTTTCCATTTTGCAATCTGTAAAATCGGCTGATATAGTTTATCACAATCTCTTTTAGTAAGCATTATTGTATTAAGTTTGTATTCAGCTCGAGGAATGATTACCATATTGTTTATATATTTAACATGAGATCCTTTTTCTGAGTAGTAAGTTGGCTATTTGTTTAATTTCATAGCCTAGTTTCTTTATGATTAATTGTTTGGGTTCTGCAGATGTGAGCCAGACTCCCAAATATTTTGCAACTTCTTTCTTCTTTTTTGCTACAATTTTTTCTTTTCTCTCCTTTATAGCTATAGACTTTTCTTCTGCCTTGTTTCGTGGATTTATAACTAAGAGCTCAGTTTTTTTCCCATTAATTTTGGATATTGTTTAGTTTGAAGAAAGATTCTGCAATCTCAATTATAATCTCTATGTCTGATTTGGAGTTTGCTATAAGAGCTGTATCATCTGTATATGCGAGTCCTGCAACTTGCAGATTTTCTTTTTTTGTGATTCCCCATGTCAAATCTATAGGCCATTCGATTTTGGCTTCTGCTCCATGATTATACTTTTGAAGTTTACAAAGCAATGGGTCAAAGTAAATTCTCCATAAAAGAGGTGAGACTACCTCTTCTTGGTCTATTCCTCTTTTTGTAAGTACTTTAATTTCACAGTCTGAAAATAGGTTGATTAAAAACTTTTCTACTTTTTCTGGGACTTTTATATGCTTCAATGCTAGTTGCAGCCTTTTAAGATCGACTGTATCGAATGCTTTTTTAATATCAATAAGAGTTATCTACATTTCTTTATTTTCTTGTTTTGCTGCCTCGATTAGAGAATTCATTATGTGAATTGGTTCTTGGGTACACTTTCCTAGCAAACCTGTGAAGTTGGGTCCTCTCAGGATCTTGTGAGCAATAATACGGTCACTTAATCTCCTCTGAATAATCCTAATTAGCCCTTTTCTTGTTGTTTCAAGAAGCATTATAGGTCTGATGTTTTCTAATTGTAAGTCCCATTCTGCTAGTTTTGGTATTGGGAAAATCATACCTATTTTCCATTTTCTTGGTATTGTTCCCTCCTCTAAAATTAAGTTTAAAAGTTCTAAAAGAATCTTTGTTGCTTTTCTTTCTAGTCTTTTTAGTATTGTATACCCAATGCTTGACAACCCTGGGGCTGAGTTGTTTGAGGTTTTCTGAAGCATTTCCCGCCATTTCTTTCTGTGATTTCATCAGATATGCCATTGTACCATTCTTGGTTAACATACTCTAAAGGTTCATATTCTAATTGCTATACTTCTTTATCTTCATCTGAATCATTATCAACCTCTTTGAACTGTTTCAAGAAATGCTTATCTATTGCTCATTTAACTTTTTCGAGTTCATAGACTAGCTCTTTCTTCCCTTTTACTTGGTCTGTTGTTACTAGTATTCTTTCTATTTTTAATTTGTTCTATGGTCTTTCAAGAATGCTATTTAGAATTTTCTTCTCATGCTGGCTGACCATTCCAAATTTTCTTTTATTTTCTTATCTTGCTCTGTTCTTTGCTCTGAGACCATTTTCTTTTTGATTACTTTTATCCACCCTTTGAGGTCTTTGATCCATTGCTCCAACCAGCAATCTTCAATCTCTTTGATTTCAGTTTCGTTAGTAAAGTTTATTTGATTTATTTGGGTGTTTATTGTATGTTGATCTTCTAGTTTAATTCTATTATTTAGATTTTTGATACCCTTTCTTCCTATGCTTCTGAGTTGCTTAATCCATTTATATCTTGGGTTCCAGATAATCTGCTTTTGCCTTTCCTCTATCATATTATTGATTTTCTTGAAAGAGACTGTTTTATTAGCTGCTAGTGTTATGCAGTTGGCCAGCTTTTCCCAACCTTCGTTTATTAAATATTCTGCTGCTGAAAGGTGAGTTTTCACTTTTTTCCTTTTGACTCTGTTTTGTTTGTCTTCTAAATATTTCTCTAACAGAGCTGTGAACTTTTCCCAATCTTTGTTGGATATTTTGGCATAAAGATATATTTTGCGCTGTCCAGAGTATCTTTTTCGTTGTTCGGCAAACAAATTAGGGTGAAGTATTGGGCTTAAAAGCACCTTTGCCCATATCAAGTTATGATCACTACCTGTCACCAAATCCATATCTTCAATATCGCTGTCTAATATAAGTTCTTTTATTGATGGATCAAGCCATATGTGGTCTATTTTTGAGTAGTGGTTATTGTTGGACCAGGTTGCCTTGAAGATTTCTGGGTTGATAAGTAAATAAGATTCTGCATAGCCTACTCTTTAAAGCCAATTTAATGGGAAGTTTGCTATGCTTGTGTTCTGGGGTCTCATCATCCATGTATTGCCCAAGAGTAGAATGATGATTTAATTCAGCATTAAAGTCCCACCTATTAGTATTCTTGTATTTGAGCTACTCTTAGTAATGTCTTCTATTAAATATTGCCGAATCTTCCTTTGCATATCTTTATTGTTTGGTGGAAAATATACTACCCAGATCCCTAATACTGTTTTTTTAAATCTAAAAACTGCTTTTAATGCATATGAATTCTTGCACACTATTTCAGTTAGGTGTGTTTGCCATTTTTTCCCTACTATAATACCTACACCTGAACCTTTTTTCTTTTCTATTTTATCTTTAGACCAAAAAGCTCTATACTGCTTCCAATTTACTTCTAAAAGCTTGCATTTCTTGCATTAATGTTTGTTTCTGTTACTCCAAATTTTCTTCCAAACCGAATTCTATAAGCTCCTGCAATTTTAACCAATTTCCTTTGAGACCATTAATTTTATGAAACCCTATTTTTAATTGTTTGAAACTCTCATCTATTTTTTTGGGTGGCCTATATTTTCTGGCTGTAGGGTATCTTTCAACCCTTTTACCTGTGGTTCAACTATAGCCAATATTTAGGAGCGCTATGCTATCTGCCTCTCAAGCTCCAAGAATCTTTTCTTCATTTCATTTACAAGCCCCCATATATTTTCCTCTTAGTTTGATTCAACCTCTTGTTCTTTTTGGTTTCTTTTTTTCTCACCTAGTTCTGTTCTATTGGATCCCTGTTGCATATTCATTTTCTAGGCTTCTAAGAGGTCTTCTTATATTACTTTGGGCTCTATTAATAATGCCACTTCGCTTGACTTTTGTGTTATTAGGTGAGCTGTATGTAGGGCTTCTATCTTGATTATTCTGCTTGGAGAGTACTAGCTTGGTCCATTTGCTTTCTTTTAGTATCTCTGCTTCGTTTAATAGTCTTTTTCCTTTAATATTATTGTCTAATCTCTTATATTAGAAAACGTTATTATGTGTATAACTTCTACCCCTGTTTTCTGCTGTTTCCTGCCAGTTAAGCTTGATATTGCAATAATATAGTTTACACTTTTGGGCAGCTCAAAGATCTTCTGATTTAAAAGTATAGGTATGTGGTTTTCCATTACTATTACTTAAGATATGTAATGCTTGTACCTTATACTTTTTGAGTCGCCGTAGAAGGAGGCTGTCATATGCAGTTGTTGGTATATGGGGACGACCACAGCAGAAGGTGGCAATGAGTCAAAATTTTTGATTCTGTAATTTTATAAAAATTATATGTCTATTACTCTAATTCTTCAAGAAATTGCATTTTTAAGAAAAAAAATTTTTTGACACATTGCCACCTTTTGCTGTAAGGGTTCCCATATTAGAAATCACACTCTTGTAGCTATTTCTTTCTCCAATACATTAATAACATTAATATCAAATTTTCCAGGTATAGTGTAATATGTTTTACCATATTCTAGATGAACTGACCAACTCTCCTTAATTGATTTTTCCTTATTTTTGGAATAAGGTAGGATTTTACTTTTTTCTAAAGTTTTGTTGCCAAGCTAACACCATTGCTGTGCCAAAGTAGCTAAGGTATGATTTGATTACTGCTGCTTTTGTTTCCTTAGAAAGATCCCAAATTGTAGTATACCAGGTTATGTACTTGATTTTGGGGCAGATTACCTTCTTTGGAGCCCAGGCTAAGTTAAAAATATCTTCATACTGCTTAGTTTTTTTATTACTTGTTTGAGCTACCAAGTTTGTTTGAGTCTGAGGTTTTTGCTCCGTATACTCATTGAGGCCATAGTCAAGAGTGCCTACTTCCTTTTGTACTAGAACCTCTTTCACTACCTCTGCTCTGTTTTCCAGTATGTGTGTCGACAGTTCTTGATCTTTCAAGTTACGTTTGTGAGAATTACCTTGTGGTTCTAATTCTATATTTAGCACTGTATTGTTTTTTTCCAGAAGTAGTACAGAAATTTCCATAGAAATTGGCTCCACTTTACTTTTGATTCTGCTTGGCTGTGACTTGGCTTTTGCTATCTACCTCCATTTTACTGCTATTATTTGTTTTACTTGATTCAGTACATTGAGCTTCTGTAATTTCCATAGAGGTATATTCTTCCTTAATTTTGCCACTATTAACTTTATTTTTTTTGGTTTCTATGTTTATATCTTGTATGAGATTTTTTTCTTTCTCAGATAGGTCTTGTTCTGTAGTTTTTTTATATTGGGCCCAGTCGTAGAAGCGTAATACGTTTCATATAATTGCTATAAGATAAACCTCTTTCTCTTTCTGACTTATTAAAAAATCTTTATAGTCAATAATATCTAGCATTTTACATGTTTGTTTTGTCTCTTATAAGTAAATCACGTGTATGTTTGTTGTTTTATTGTTGAATTAGTATCTAATTTGTTACTAGAATTGCCTATCCCAATTTGGTGTTTGTTTATTTCCAGACGTGATTGTTTGTTTGTTTGTTTTGTAAGTGATTTGTGATTCAGGATCAACAAAGAATCCTCAATTTTTAGAAATTTTTCACAAAATTTTGCCAAAAAGTAGAGTTTCCTGTGTATTGAGAGCCTAAGGTTGTATAGAGCAAAGCCATTTTAATAAAGTAGAGTTGGTTTTTCTTGCCCAAGGTTTTTCCTTAATGTTGTTTCTACTAGTTACTTAGTATATAACTGTTCTATTTCTGTATCTTCTTTAGCTCCGATTTTGGTTTTGGTGATCGTCGGAAAGAGTTGTTCAATACTATATAGTATATTTTTTTATACTAATACATCTAATTATTAAAAAAATTTGTATTACATTACTATTTTAAGAATTTTTATATGTAAAAACTGTATTTTGTGTAATAGTAACATTTAGATTACTAATATAAACAATTTACTTAAATTGTGTAATATTCAATCTGTTATTCTGATTTGTCAATAAATTTTTTAAATTTATATAAGTTTGGGATAATTCTAAGTCCAATAGTAGTTAGATCATCAAAATTGGCCCAGTGGTTCTTGAGATATCTTGGGCTAAAGATGCGAACATAAGGATTGGCAAAGTCACAGTTATACAAAGTATTAATTTTGTTAATCCTTATGTTTAGATAACTACTAGCTCGATTTTGATGATCTAACTACTATTTGATTTAGAATTATCTTCTCTACAAGTTTACTTAGATCTTGAAGATATTTTTATTTAATAACTTCTTGCATAAACTTAAAGAAACTATAATCAGATCCAATTTTGTAATTATCTTGGCAACCAGTAATCCAATCTGAATGAACTCTTTTTATTTAATTATAATTACTAGATTTTTTAAATTTTTTTTTTAAATTTAGCAGTTTTGCCTCTACTTTATTAGACTTTATAATATTATCCCTTAAATTGTATTTGGGACAAATTTGCCTTAAATTTTTAAAAGTTTTTAGAATTTTTTAAAAATTATTAATAATATGGGGTATATTTTATATATAAAATATCTTATTTAAAATATATTTTATTAACTTTGTTAATAAAAATATTTTAACTTATTAAGCAATAAGAATTTAAAATTTTTATTTAAAAAGATTTATTATAGAATTTTTTTAAAGTTTTTTTAAGATTCTATATGTTTTCGTTTATTTGCTTCTAATACAAGTTCAAATTTTTATCAAATTTCATTAATAAAAATTATAATCTAATGTATAAAGTATAATATTCTATTAAAAACTAAAAATTAAAACTAAAGTTTATAAAGTTATCTAATATTGATATTAAGATTTTTAGCTTACCCAATTTTTTTCTAAATTTGTCTATTTTTGGTTTATAAGCAATCCAAACGTTTATAAAGTTATCTAATATTGATATTAAGATTTTTAGTTTACTCAATTTTTTTCTAAATTTGTCTATTTTTGGTTTATAAGCAATCCAAACTTTTTCTTATAATATAAAAAAAATTTTTATACAAATATTTTAATTTTTTAAAAAAAATTTTAAGTATTTTGGTAACTATAACCAGAATGTACTAAGTAAACTGGATCAGGTACTCTAAGTAAAAATGTTCAGGACCCCCAAAACCTCACAAAAACTGAGATTAGGCTCTTATAGTAGCTCCATATTATATTATATAAAAAAAACCAATTTTCTAATTTCTAACCCTAACCTTAACAAATCTTAGAACTAGTGATGATCACCACCGGTGATTAGAACTAAATCTCTTTAAAAAAATAGATCAAAAGCAAATTTATAAAAAAAATTCAGTGCAAATTTGTCCCGAATTTGTTTACAATTTAAGAGATACTATGAAATATTAAAATTTTTGATGGGTATAAACCCTAACACCACCTAAATTACAAGTATTAGCTCACCCGTGTGTTCTTTTCTGCACTTGAAAAGAATAGATCTTCACCGAAAGGTTTTACTGGCTCGTCAAGACTACCTATTTTTTCTTTTAAACTTTTTCCACCTAGATCCAGATAGAATAGTTTATCTCTTACTTTCTATAAGGGAAGAAAAAATATGCCATATCTATGAAAGAAAACAAACTATTTAGAAAAAGAAAGAGAAAAACAAAAAAAAGAAAAAAAAAATATTTAACCGAAAAAAGGGGGTTCTAAATATAGTTCCATCATAATAAAACAAAGATAAAAAGAGCAGAAAAAAGACATAGAAGTCCTGATGAACCACCTTAAAAAAAACAAACAAAAGAAACAAAAAGAAAAAGAAAATACACCATTAGGGTTGGGTATCTTCTAAATGAGGTTATTGATCTTATCCCTGTACCGTAGTACTATAATGATAAAACAAAACAAACACATGGCTGTGTTCTACTGAGTTTGTCTGAATTAGATAAGTGTAAACAATGCCGATCTTTTGAGGGGTAAGCTAAAATACCCACTTTTTGTCAAAATTTTTGGTGAGGTTGGCAATATGTGAGAGGAAGAAAAAAACACTTAAAACCACTAAAAGAGCATAGGTTTATAAGAACTACTTCTAAATGACAAGTGCTGTGCTTGCAGTTAGTGAGTGATAAACTCTAAGGCTGTTAGCAGATAGTGTATAAGAACTATTTCTAAATAACAGCTGCTGACTTACAGTCCCTTTTCTCATGTCTTATGTACGAGTTGTCAACTTTACTCTAGTGTACTGTTTTTTTTCCTAATAGAAAGTTTTTTGGAAATTGTAGTTCAAATGATCATTAGAAAGTGTTGTATATAGCAAAATGACTAGATTTTTAAATATTTAAGAAACAATAAATTTTTAGTTTTAATAAATTAAATTAAAATTAAACAAAACCAAATTATAATCTATATTAGAAATAAAATTATTTAAATTAATTTGCTTTGGATTTAAATTTTTATTTTATTTTATATTAAATCTTTTCTGTATATCACATGAAGAATTTTTTAATATTAAGGTAACCACTTAGGCCCTTGGTACTTTATTAGTGCAAGTGATTTAATCTGGTTAGGAAGACTAGTAATATATTGATATTATGAAAATACAACTAGCCACATATATACACTTTTGGTGTCTAATTTAAATAGTTTATCTAAAGGTTCTATACTAGCTGCTATATCTGCAACTCAACTAGGAAGTTATATATCATACAGGTTTATAGCTATATAAAAATAAAACTATTTAAAATTTAATATATTTTTTTCTGTACATTATTATTGCACAGGTTTTCAACTAGTTATAAATTCTATAGTATAAAATAAAGTTGTAACATGATCATTAAAAAAAATATTTATAGTAATACAAATTTATATTAATCTCATAAAGGCATGGCAGCTTAGTGAAGTGGTCTAGTCGTCACCCTCTCCAAATGGCAGGTCTAGAGTTCAAATCCCATGGACAACGATTTTGAAAAATAGATTTGTGTTTCGGTAACCTGTATAAGATGATTGGATTAGGGTATCTGTAACTTAAGTCACACCAGGACGTAGTATTCCTGGAAGATCCGCTGGCGTTTGTACAACTGAGGAAACTCGGGGACCACGAAAGAATGCAAACCAGCTTAGGGCGGTGCAAACTCTCGATAAGTTCAGGATTGTGTAAATCTTAGGAATTTTTTTCGCATACAGAAACTGTTTGGGAAGTCCCAAATTAAGATTAGTGGCTAACTTTTGACAGTACTACAGAGTAAAGACTATACTGGGAACTCAACCAGAGGCCCGGTGATCATGACCCTTATAGGCGGGGTTACACCAACCTGGCCATTGGAGGATGAGGGGACTCCACAGGCTAACTGGATTGGAAGGGATGTCTCCGGAGCCGAACTCATGCGTCAGGAAATGTCGGTACTGTGGTTGGTTATGAACTTAATAAGGGCAAAAGTAAAGTAATGAAGGACTAATTAGGAAGGTTTACTTGAGATACGGATTGTGTTATGGCAGCATCCCAAAAGATGGCTTGAGATACGAACACAATGACGGCAGACAATATGTACTAATTGGGAAGTAATTACCAAACGAGCATGCACTATCATGTGTGGGACATGTAATGTGATGTCAGGTTTACCTCGAGGATGATCAAGATAGTCCTAAGGCGGGTTGTAATATATACATAGTTAAAATTATTGTAAATACTACTAACCCCGATTTAACTATAATAAAATTCACCGACCAAAGAGGTCACCTTAAAGAGAAAATATATATATATATATTAATCTCATAATCTAGTGTTTAGATTTTAATAATTTTAGGCTTGTTAGAATCCTCTCTTTAAGAGAAACTATTTTGGTAATTAAATTACACAAATTGGTTTAGATATTTACTATTAAATATTTAATATTTAATAGTAAATAATATTTGAACATTCAGTAACAATTCAGTAAACATTTAACAACTATTCAGATACCGATTCCTGCCACTCAGCTGCCACTCAGCTACTACTCAATAAAAATTCAGTAATATATTACTGAATTTTTACTGAGTGGCAGAAATCGGTACCTGAATAGTTGTTGAATGTTTACTGAATGTTTTAATAGTTTAACTACCAAAATGATTCTCTCAATCCTCTCAAAGTAAGGATTCTAACAAGCCTAAAAGTATTAAAATCTAATTACTAGATCATGGAATTGTTTTTTTTTTTAATATTAGGGTGTAGTGCCTGCCTCAGATATTTAT